TCCATCCAGAACAAGGAGGCAATATTCCTTAGATTCAGAAACTATCTCGGAAACGTGGGCACTCTATCCAAGGTGTTCCTTGCTCTTACTAATTCTTATTTCCCCTTCTCCTTCTAAAGGGGCTCTGGTGGTGTAGAGGTTATGAGTTGGGCTGTTAGCTGCAAGGTCAGTAGTTTGAAACCAGTTACTTCTGGGGGTTGGGGGTGTGTGTGAAAGATGGGACTTTCTACTCCTTTAAAGAGTTAGTCTTGGAAACTCACAGAGACAGTTCTACCCTGTCCTACGAGGTTTCTATGAGTCAGCATCCACTCGAGAGGTTGCTATGAGTCAGCATCCACTGGCTGGCAGTGAGACAACAAACATTCTCCTCATAAGGAGCCCTGGTAGCAGAGTGGGTTATGAATTGAGCTGTGAACTGCAAGGCCAGTAGTTTGAACCCACCAGTCACCATGAGGGAAAAAGATGAGGCTTCCTGCTCCCACAAGGATCCCTTTGAGTGAGAATCAAAGTGGCAGTAGGTTTTAAAATACATATCTTCATTAGGCGTTCCAGTGGCACAGAGGTTGAGTGGTCTACGGTGCACAGAAACGTCAGCAGTTCAGACCCCCCAGCACCTCTGTAAGGGAGAAAGATGTGGAGAAAGCCACTTGATAAGATTCCAGCCTTAGAAACTAGGTGAGGCAGCTCGTCTGTCTTTGAACTGAGCGGACAACACACAACACCACCCTGTTCAAATCAGTCCCTTCTTTCCATTCCCACTTCCACTACCCAGTCTGAGAGGCGTTGGAAGGGACCCACATCCTCCTTCGTAGCGCAGATCCAGGGGACTGCAGCCCCTTGACTGATCTGAGTCCACTTTTGCCCTTTGCAATGCATTCTGCACTCAACAGCCAACGAGATGTTGGGAAGGCATAAATCAGATTATGGTCCTCTCTACATAAAATCCTTCATGAGGATTAAACAGAGGGGGGGAAACCGACCCGCTTGCTATCTCTGTTTTATGCTGTCTGGTCTCTGGTTATGCCTTTCACTTTCCTTTGTCCTCTGTCACTTCTTAGAACGGCCATACTTGCTTCAGGGCCGCGCAACGCAGGGTCCCCTCGATGCCTCCCGTACCAGCACTCAATGCTTATCCCTCAATGTTTATCTCGTGTTAGGTTCTGAGTAACGCTCACCAGCCGGAGGAGCTCAGGAACTGTCTGACCATGAGCACCCGCTCTCTGCCTCTCCCTGTCGGCTCAGCAGCACTGCGTGCGGGCGTGTGTGTGTTGTTGCAAATGTTTACTGTGTGTTTGTGTGTTGGTGCAAATGTTTAATGCACAACTCCCCAGCGCTCGCCATTCCCAGATCGGGCTCTCCCCGGCCTCCACGAACCTTAAGACGCTTCATCGTGGGGTAGTTTGTGGGCTGTGCGAACGGGACGCGAGCCCAGGAAAAAAACGCTTCGCGGGAAATCCGGGGCCGGAAATCGATTTATTTCTGAAACGTTTCCATATGCAAGGAGGCGGGTCTGAAGTATGTCCCGCCTCCCGAGAATTTTCATTGGATGAGATCCTAGTATCGATTCTCTATTGGCTTAAATGTATGGCGGTGGGCGGGGATGTGTGTCCTATGACGCCTCATTGGCTCTACTATTTCCTTGAGCTTCGGGCTCTCATTGGCTAACGTCAAGAGCTAGGCAGTGACTCATTGGCTAACGTCAAGCGCTAGGCAGTGACTCATTGGCTAACGTCAAGCGCTAGGCAGTGACTCATTGGCTAGCGTCAAGAGCTAGGCGTGGCTCGCTGGCTAGTGAGGCCGGCCGGCTCTGTCCCGCCCCTTTGGCGAGCCCTCTACATTTTAAACAAAACGTCGAGGACGTGGGCCGCGTCTCTCTTTGGGCTTTCTGCTCCCAAGAGGCCACCCGAGCTCGTTTGGCGCGAGGACTGAGGGAGACGCCAGTGGCGAAGGTCCCCGGAACGATTCCTGGGCGGGACCCTTGGAGGGTCGCTTTGAAGGACGGGTGGCGACGGGCCTGGCCACACGGGCAAGGATGGCGGCGGAGGCTGGGCCGGGGGCCGCGGTGCCCCTGGAGCTGCGGCGGGACCGGTGCATGGTGTGCGTGGAGTACCCGGGCGTGGTGCAAAACGTGTCCAAGATGCTGCCGACGCTGGGCGGTGAGGAAGGCGTCTCTCGGGTAAGGGGGGGGGGGTCTCCAGGACAACGGGAAAGGGACCGGTCCCGGGAGTCTAGCAGAAGGGGCGGGGCTGCACCTCCAAGTGTCGTTTCCTTGGCAACGGGGCGGGCTCTGGACCGGCCAGTGGGCGGGAGCTTTGCATCCGAGATCACCTACGGTGGGTGGACTATTAAAAACTGGAAGGAGCAGGAAGCCTGGTGGTGAAGCCGGTTCCTAGGTGTGCTGCTGACCGCCCCCTGGAACCGCGTGTCGATCCCCCCCAGCCGCTCCGTCGGAAGAGGACGAGGTTGTCTGCTGCTGTAGAGGTTTACAGCCTCGGGAACCGGAAGGGGCAGTTTATTCAAATGGCCTTCCCGGGCCACTTTGGCAGTGAGTCTGGGTGGATGGGGGGCAGAGGGGGAGAAACCGGGAATCTCTGCCTTCCCATCCCCAGATAGGAATTGCAACCTCAGCATCCCTGCCGTGAACACTGGGCTGCCTTGTCCCCCGATCAGGTAGTCGAAAACAGGCATGCGGACACTAAGGACCACTGCCAGCCATCCCATTATTTTTTAAATTCCATTTGTACCTGAACTTCTTGAAGCCCTCTTCGATGAGAAGGCGATGGGTGTTGTATTTTTAGTGCTGAGAGTAGTAAGAGCAGACTTCTTGTTGGGTGCCAGCTATGATTCTGGGTATGTAATTCACATTTGGTCCTCTTTTGAACCTTACCAAAGAAGCTCTGGTGGTCCAGTGGGGTAAGCGTTGGGCTGCTAGCCGAAAGGTCAGTGGTTCAAATCCACCAGCTGCTCCTTGGGAGAAAGAAGAGGCTCTCTGTGCCTTTAAAGATTTCCAGTTCCAGAAACCCAAGGGAGCAGTTTTGCTCTGGCCTGTAGGGTCACTAGGAGTTGAAATGGACTTGACCATGTGCAGAGATAGAGCCCTGGCCATTTGTACTTTGTTCTTTTATGCTGACCTGTCTTTAACAGGACCCTTGCTCTCTCTAGCCCCAAGGGTGGCTGTCACACTGCTGTGGGAGCTCATTGGGAAGGAACCTTGGCCATTCATTCCTCCACTCCACCCATGCTTGTGAGTCCTTCCTCTGGGCACAGTGCCATCCCAGCAGGACTTCAAGACATCTCTCTTGAGAAGATTCTTGGAACATGGAGTCTGTTTTAACCTTTGTTCCTTTACTAGCTCTTTCCTGAGCACCCACCGAGAACGCGGCCCTGTCCTGGGTGCCGGTGCCACAGTGCACATTGTTGGGATTTTCATGGGCTCACGTGTGATGCTCATTTTGTCCCTTTTAATCTGTGTGAGGCGGACATTGATTTATAATGTAGGTGACATGTATAAGGTTTACCATGAACTTGGCACTGGGATAAATGCTTTATACACATTTTTTCTTAATTATTGCCATAGTCCTATGATGATTACATAATAATCCTATGATGAAGCAGACTCACTGTTATCGTCTCCATTTTAGGGGGGAAATGGGCAATGTCTAGTCAGAGCCAGAGAGGGTCTAACAGGCTGTCCTCATGTCCTTTGGACCTAGGAGCACTCATAGATGAGACTGAACCCCGAAGACCCTTTGGCGTGAGTAGTTCTTAGTAGGTAGAATAAGTTACTCAGTACTCTCCCCCACTACGGTTTACCGTGGGAGCCCTAAATCCATGTGTGAGTCTTCACATAGATTCAGCCTCTGGTGAGTTCTTGTTGAGCAGCTACCAGCAGTGTGAACAGCTTTGCCCAGGGTTGGAAAGTGGATTACTAGTACTCCCCTAGCAGGGCAGGGTGGGGCAGCCTCACCTTCTGGGATTTGCTGGGGTGTGTCCTTGATGGAAATGGGGTGCTAGGGTTACATGATCCTGAGGCATCCCCGACAGCCTCAGTCTGAGGGCTTCTGGGATCTGCAGTAGGATGTGCACACCAGCCATGGTCCTGTTCCAGTTCTGTAGTCCCACCTGCAGCTGTGATGATCGATCCACCACCAGTCGTGGCATGAGTTTGTGACGGGTCCCTCTGGTCTCCGTGCCCTCTTTAAGTGTGTCTGTAAATCACTGGGCACCATAATGGCCTCGTGCTGAAGGTCTCCCTCGCCCGATGCTTTCTTTGGCATTTATCTTTGTCCCATTTTAGCCTTAATGAGTATGTAAATTAGCAAAGCAAAACCTTCACCCTGACTCAAGTTTCCCAAAGGTAGACTCAGGGTTGACACCTCCTTCCATGAAATATTACCAGTCTGACAATACCCCTCACTGACCAAATAAACAGAAACACAAAAACCAACAAACTCACTGCCATCGAGTCAATTCTGACTCAGCGCAACTCTGTCAGTCAGAGTAGAAGCGCCGTTGTGGGTTTCCAAGGTTATACATCTTTATGGAAGCAGCCTCATCTTTGTCCTGAAGAGCCGCTGGTAGTTTCGACCAGGTGACCTTGTGGTTAGCAGCCCAAGGCCTAACCCTCTGTGCCACCAGGGCTCCTACACACGCCAAGCACTGGATAAATGGCGGCTTCTTCTCTTCAGCTTCACAACCCTTCAGAAGAGAGAGACTATTGCTCCTCATTTTCTTGACCGGACACAAGCCATCATATTGGGTTTAAAAAATTAGTTTTGGGGAATTAGCCCAGAATAAAACCCTGACCCTCTCTGGGTCCCTTGTGTTGTGAGTGTTGGACTCCCTGCCAGGCTGTGTATCTGCTCAATGCTCCAATCCCGCCTCCTTTGGCTCCCACCCCAGATCTACGCAGACCCCACCAAGAGGCTCGAGCTCTACTTCCGGCCCAAGGACCCCTACTGCCACCCTGTGTGTGCCAACCGCTTCAGTACCAGCAGCCTGCTGCTCCGGATCAAGAGGAAGACGAGGAGGCGGGCCTCGGTGCGGGGCGCTGAGGCCGGCCCCGAGATCGCCTTTGAGATGGAGATCCTTGGCAGTATCTCCACCACGTACAAGTTCCAAGGTAACTGCAGAGATCCACTCCCACTCACCGATCTCTCTCAGGGCCTGCTGTCCCAGAGGCTCTCCAGGGTGGAGCTGGCCATCTCCAGGAGAAGCAGGCCAGGGTAGTCCAGGGGGCGAGGGGCCCCAGCACAGGCTCCGTCCTCTCCCTCCTGGCAACACTTGCCTAGAAGACTGAAAACTCATTGCCGCTCCGTCTTCCGAGTTCTTAAAAGAAGCTAGACCTCCAGAGTTGTAGGAGAAATCTCCCAACTTTTAATAAGACCGTGGAATGGAGCCAAACAAAACTGGTCAGCCAACTTCCAAATTTTGCCCCCTTCTTGGATCGTGTGTTAGGCCGGGTTATCTAGGGAATAAAATCGGGGACACACATATATGTAGGGGTGTGTGTGTGTGTGTAAGAAAGCTTTATGTCAAGAAGTAATTATATATCAAGAAGATATCCCAGCTCAGGCCAACTCAAGTCCTTAAGTCTGATGCTCATCCATAAGTCCCTCTCCCGACTCATTTAACTGCAGGCCAGTGATGCAGAAAAGTGAAGCAGGAGGCAGATGACCACCCTGCAAACATGTCAGGGTGCTGATGGCTCTCGGCGGTGGTGGGCAGGGCGCCTACGGCAGGGTGGGGGGGGCCCCTTGAGGCAGGCATGGAGTACAGAGAGGGAAATAAGGAAGGAAAGGAGGAGTGGAAGGAGCCTGGGGAAACCGGGCCTGTCGGGTCATTCTGCTGCCCTGTGGTCTTGACAGAGGTGGGCAGTGCTTCCTGGGACCAGGGTTTCCGGGTGATTGGTTCATACAGCTCTGCACTGCGTGTTTGTATTGCTGACTGAGCCAGCACCTCACTGGATGGGTGCACCGTGGACCAGCAGCATCTCATTTAGGAGCTGGTTAGAACTGTAGCATCAGTTCTAACAGACCCCAGGGGGTTCAAGTGCAAGTTAAATTCTAAGAAGCCCTGATCCAGATGTAGGCTGACACATAACATAGCACCCCCTCCCAACCCCAGTAATATTTTATTCAAGTGACTTAGAAGGACACGTTTGCAAAAGCGTCTCTGAAGGGTGTGTTTCAGCTCCTGCACCCTCATCCCAGCAGAGTGCAGCACCCAACTCGCTGGATCCGCACCTTCCTATAGGGACGTTGGGGGCTGATTGGCAGCAACTGCCTGTTCCGGGCTGCGTCTGCGACAGACAGGGCTGCAGAGCTGCCCTGGGCTGCACATTGACCCGGGTCTGCTTCTCCTAGGAATGTCCGACTTCCAGTACTTGGCCGTGCACACAGACGAGGGTGGCAGGCACACGTCAATGTATGACAAGGTGCTCATGCTCAAGCCCGAGAAGGAGGACTTCTTCAACCAGGAGCTGCCGCTCTACATCCCCCCGCCCATCTTCTCCCGGCTGGACACGCCCGTGGATTACTTCTACCGGCCGGACATACAGCACCGGTAAGGCCCCTCCTGGCAAGCGTCCGGCTCAGAGCAAGGGCCCGCAGTCAGGGCCTGGGTCTGAGGCTCGCTGCTGACACTGTGGTAATCTTGCGGGAAAATCAATACCAGACTAGTCGCAAGGATTTGGAGATCAACGATGTCCCAGATGTCCCACTTTCCCAGCATGTTATCCAGCTCCACCTCCACCTCACGTCCCTGGGATCTTTGCTTTGCTGCACTGTCCCGCAGACACTGAGGTGCTCACGTGGCTGCTATGGGTCCTGGTCAATCCCAAATCTGAAGGGGGGGGGAGGTCAAAGCCGGAAGCCAGATGTGTCTGGAAGTCAAAGTGAATCTTCTTGCTTCTGTAGGAAGCGGAGGTCATAAAGGGGAAGGTTTAGCTGGAGGTGCAGATTCTGTCTTTCAACCGATTCTACCCTCGGGAAAACAAAGCTGAGAAGCTAGGTCTAAAGATGCGGTCCAGCCTACTGCTGTAACAGAAAAAAACAACCCAACTCACTGCCATCGAGTCCACGCCGACTCACAGTGAGCCGCCCCTGGGAGTTTCCCAGCCTGTAACTCTCCATGGGCCTAGAAAGCCGTGTCTTTCTCCCGCATTGAGAAAGCATCACTTAGATAGAAATAGGACCCACCTGTGGTTGTCTTGTGCCAGATTCTAAGTCACGGTGACCCCGGCTTACCCGACCACCTGCTGTGGTGCAGCACAGAACTGCTCCTGGGGTTTTGCTGGCTATAATCTTTACAGACACAGACTGCCAGGCCGAACCCTAAAAATAAGCAGGAGCAAACCCACTGCCATCAAGTCGGTGCTGACATACATTAACCTTATACGCAGGGTTTCCAAAGCAGATCGGGAAAAGGGCATTTTGAAAAATGACCCCTAGGTGGTGATCTGTTAAACAATTTTTCCATGGCCTGGCTCCACCCCCACCCCGCCTCCTGGGTCCTCCCCATCCACAGACCCCGCCCAGGCTCAAAAAAAAAAAAATTTTTTTTCCATAGTGTCCTTTCCACTTCCAATCTTATAAAGAGTGACTTGGGCAGCCGTGGCTGACCTGCCTTCCAGCTTCACCCCGCCCATACCGCCCCAGTGCCTGCCGTGTCCCGCCTGGTGCCCTCAGAGGTAGAGCAGCTGGGGACAGGGGCAGGCCTGACAAAGAGCATCAGAAACCAGCCTGAGTCTGTCCCCGCAGCCCTGGGACCTGCTCCCATCGATGGCAGCCGGCATTCCAGTGGGGCGGTCCTCCCACGGGGTCTTTCTGGTCAGAATCAGCTCAACCGCACACAGCCACACACATGACGTCAGGCCTTTAAAGGACTTAAAGCAATGGCTGTCTAGCAGGATCTGCTTTTGAAAACATAACCACACTACTGTCATCATTACCAAGCTACATGGACTGTGTTCTGCCGGTCCTTGTTCAGTTGTCCCCAGTGATGGCAAAGGTGACCCAGGAGCCCAAAGTAGGGGCACCTGTTCCTTTGGTTGGGTGTCTCTTGGGAGTGTTGGAGCTATAATGTATGCTCTTCCCACACCCTGCCCCCACGATCACAAGAGTCCGTTCATTTCTCGCTTGTTAGAAAAAAATCAGAACATTGTAGAAACGTATGGTGAGAAAGAATCAGGTCATAGCAACTCTCTACTTAAAGCCCTACACATGACACTCAATGCGGACGATTTTCTGTCTATTTATTAATACTAGGTGCAAGACATTTTAGCATAAGGGGATAGAATCCATTGTTTTTAAATGACTGACTTTTGAACTATTTTGACCCTCCCTCTCCCCTGAGGAACTTACTCTGGTCGGAAACCCAGTGAAATACATAGAATCGGACCCCTCGTGCCCAGCTGCCTTCCAGCCCACACTGACACAGGCCAGTCTGGGTCCTGCTCTGCCCTGGGCCAGCCGGCAGCTGTCCCCAAGCGCAGGCGTAGGGTGGGGCCGTCCTTGAGTTCACAGCCCCTCCTGCCTCCCCATGTGGTTTGCCGGTTTCCCAGCAGCATGGAAAGAACCTGCTGTTTCTCCCAGGACTGCTATAATCGGCCTGGGTACACAGGACCCAGTGGGGTCAGGCCTGGCCACAGCTCGCTGGATACTCCCTGGGCTGGAGGAGTTGAGCTCCCCACAAGTCAGGTGGGCAGAGGAGAGGCTGGGAGGCTGACCTGGGGAGTCCCTCGACCTCCTGCCAGTCCCATCACCCTGCTCCTCAGGGAAGCCATCTGGGGTGGGGCAGGGGGTATCCCACTGACTTGGCTTCCAGCCCTGGTCAGCCGCCAGCAATCTTCCCCACACTAGGCCAGCGGTGGTGGCTCGCTTGCAGATGTCCAGAGCCTGGAGCTGCCGCTGGGGGTGGGGAGGTACTAAAGGCATCCATGGGTCTGCCCCTGCAGTGCCTCTTGGGCTGATTGGCCCCGGAAGTGAGCCCCCGGGCGTGTCTGAAAGCAGGGTAAGGCTGCACCTGCCCTGTGCAAAGGTGCAAACTTGATCCTGCCTTGGTCATTTTGTTTCCCAGCGTGAGAGTGACTGTGACTCTCGATGTTGGGTCGCTGTGAGGCGAACTTGGCTGATGACAGTGAGTTTGGTTTCGAGGTTAATTCTCTCTAAATACAAGCATGGCTCATACACCACTCAGGCCACATGGCAAGGCCTAAGAAAGGCAGTGCTCACGTGAATGAGGCTGTGTGAGCACTGGATACCGGGTACCCTGAACAGCAGTACTTGGAAAGAATTCAGTGGGTTGGGGCCAGGGTGCGGGCAAAACGGGGCAGTGCCTGTTGGCAGCTGGTGATGGTCTTGTGGGCACTCGTGCCAGCTTCTGACTGTGTCTGAGCTTGCCGTTCCTGCCATCTTGAACCAGAGTGCCTGAGGACACCTCTCCCTGCTGAGGAGCCCTGGTGGTGTAGTGGTTGTGCGTCAGGCTGTGACCCACCAGGTCAGCAGTTCAAAACCACCAGCCCCTTTACAGGAAAAAGACGGGGCTTTCCACTTCCGTAGAGCTGAGTCACAGGAACTCACTGGGGCCGTTCTACCCTGGCCTACAGGGTCATTCTGAGCCAGATTCAACTCGACGGCAGTGCGTTTGGTTTGAGGTTTTCTCCTAGTTGTGCTTTATGCCAACACAGGGAGAGAGCCCGGAGCGGCTGGTTGTAGGGCCCTGCGCTGGATGAAGACTCCACTTGGCACCATCCTTTGTTCCTTCACCGTCTGTGGTCAAGAGACCTCCGAGCCCCTGAGACCTCCGAGCCGAAGGCTCACGCTCCGGGATGCAGAGGCGGCTGAGAGCCTGGCTCCTGCAGGCAGGCTTCCTGGATGTGGAGGCCGGCTCTTCTGAGGGGGCGGGTTTCCCCATTCCTGCAGCCTCACTTACTTCATCAGGAACCGGTTCCACCCCCAGAAGATGGTTTTGAGGGTTAAATTAGCAAGCACCTAAAAATTCATGTCAATAAGCTAAGCTAGCGCCACTGCCCATTTGAACGGCCATCAGGTCTCTGGTGTGAGCCTTCCTTCACCGAGTTTGCCAGGCCCCACGGTGGACATGTAGGCCATGTGCAGCTTTTCCTTAGCCGGGTGGCTCTGTGTATTGTTAGGAAGGGGCTCGCCTCATCAAGGGTGCCCTTCCCACAGCCCTGCCTCCTGGGATCCAGTGGGACCTCTTGGCCTTGCCCGATTGCTAAGCCGCAGGCCCCAGAGCTTCACCAGGCTCTGCAGCCAACCCTCAGATCCTCGCCCAAGCCCTGGTCTCCAGGACAACGGCTCAAAAGAGGGCTCTCTCCGCTCTTAGGGAAGGCTACAACAATCCCACCATCTCAGGCGAGAACCTGATTGGCCTGAGCCGGGCCCGGCGCCCCCACAACGCCATCTTTGTCAACTTTGAGGAGGATGAGGTGCCCATGCAGCCACTGGAGGCCGCAGTACAGACGTGGAAGAGAGTCTGCACCAACCCCATCGACCAGAAAGTGGAGGAGGAGCTGAAGAAGGTGAGCCCACCCCGCCCCCTGTATTTACCCGGCTGGTCCCAGCCCCACTTCTATTTGAGCGTGGCCAGGCCTGCCTTTTTTTCAAACTGGTTTCTTAGTGGGTGGGAATGTTTCAGCTCTAGCTGTCACGTCTAGAAGCCCTGTCGGTACAAGCCCTGCAGGTCCCGGGGCTGCAAATACTTTGTAGGGTTCCCAGGTAGTCTCGGGGGGATGGCTGCATTGCCTAGACACGACCATGGTGGCTGCTCACCCCAAAGGCCAAACGGAGCGCCTTCCAGGTGCCAGGCCTTGGCACTCTTGTCCCAGGGGAGCTGCCTGGCCTGGCAGGTGCTCAGCTCTCCCTTCCCCACTCCTCCCAGTCTGGGTCCTCTTCCACATGGCCGTCACAGGCACAGGGAGGACAAGCCACCTGCCAGCCGAAGCTCGGGACTCTTCCCCTGTCTGAACTGAAATTACAACTATTCCCTTGCTCCGGGTCCTTTCTTAATTTCTAGCCATCGCTTTTCAGGCTCCTCACTGTCCTCTGGACGGGGTTCCATCCCCGGCCCGACCCACAGCTCCCACTCTGCCCTTGTTCTCCCGGCGCCTGCCATGCAGGCCTCCTTGGGCCGCATCTCCATCGGACTTCAGAATGCCCCACCTCAGCCCCTCACCTTCTCACAGAGGCTGCCCGGGTCCTGAGCTGTGGCTCAGCACTTCCCCTCAGCCTTGCTGGGGCCCAGGGGTCACCTGCCTCTCTGCTGCACAGGGAACGGTGGCTTGAGGACAGGGACCATGTCCCTGGGTCATTTCTGGACCCCTGGATTCCACAGCTGCACTTGGCATCAGCTGGGCATCCCCGCAGGCTTCTTTGGGAGCGATGGTGGGCACGGGCACCAGCTCTGGGATGCTTGTTCCGTCAGCAGCCAGGGCTGGGGTTCTTGCCCCAGTCCTTTTTGGAATTGGAAGCTGAGCCCTGAAAGGTCCCCTCAGGCCATACTGTGCTGGGAGCTGTGGGCGGTGGACAGCTGCTCTCCTGCTCACCTCAGCCTTTGCCTTTGACCTTCCCCAGCTGTTTGACCTCCGTCCCATCTGGTCCCGCAGCGCTGTCAAGGCCAACATCAGCGTCCACCCGGACAAGCTCAAGGTCTTGCTGCCCTTCATGGCCTACTATATGGTGAGTGTCGTTGCCGGGGCGCTCTCCATCCCTGCTGTGATATCCTAGAGCCTGCAGGAGCAGGTGCACCCTGCCCTGCGCCCTGGGGTGCCTCTGGAAAGCCACCTAGGAAGGTTTCAACTCCCAGGTGAAAACTTCCAGGGAGCTCGCCCAGCCTCCTCTGTAACAGGTCTGACCATAGTTGGGCATCTTCTGTCACCTCCTTACTTGTCGTCAAGGGATTATACGTTTGCAGAAGCCCCTCTGGAGAGAAGTCCCCAAGGACCAAGCATAAGGCGAAGCTTGTGTGTAAAGAATTCCCTCCTTCCCTCCCTGCAAGGTGGGAGCCAGATTCCCTTTGTGTGCCTGAGGAAGTCACGCCTCAGGTCCCACAGCCAGCAAGTGGCCGAGCCCCATGGGGACCCTAGCGATCCCTCTGCAACGCCTGGCCCCCTTCCTGAATTACCTAGCGCAATTCAGTAGTGGGGGGCGGGGCAGGCTCAGATTCATCTTGGATTCAGTTTGTGGAGCGTGAGCGTAGGTGCCAATGGCAAAGAGGGCTCTGGTTTTGTAAACCTGAGCACTTCAGGGCGGCCAGGCGCTGCGTCACTGTGATGAGCAGGACAATCCGCATGTTCTGAGCACCTAGGATGTGCCGGCTGTGACCTCAGCCTCCACAGAAACAGTGAGAGGGTGCTGCACCATCGGCACCCAGGCTGGGCGAGGTGATGGAGCCCGTGCATGGTAGCCTAGGGGGTTCCAGAGGTTTGTTCCCAAGTCACAGGGAACTTGGCCTCTCTTCCTGGTTGCTAAGGGCACCTGGGCTCACATCTCTGAGGGGCTTAGGAATTCCCTGGAGACACCTCCAGGGTAGCCTGGACCCCACCTTGTGTGTCCCCAGATAACAGGCCCCTGGAGAAGCCTGTGGATCCGATATGGGTACGACCCCCGGAAAAACCCAGAAGCCAAGATCTATCAAGTCCTTGATTTCCGAATCCGCTGCGGAATGAAATACGGTGAAAAGGAACCCCCTTTGCTTTCTGTCTAGTCTGAGACCTTCTATCTCGCCGTTGCTAGCCTCTTCTGTGTTCGCATAGATATTAAAAAGCCTGTCTCTTCCTGGGGAGAGTCTGGGGGCGGGGTGGAAGGGTAGAAACGAAGATCTGACTGTTAGTCCTGTCTCTACCACCGAGCCTCTCTGGGTCACTCCGGCCCACGTGGCGTGTGCCTGCCCCACTTTGATGGCTCAGTGCCTGCCTTGCCTTGACACGGCTCCCGTGTCACAGGCTACACCCCCAGCGACATGCCTGTGAAGACAAAGCGCAGTGCCTACAACTACAGCCTCCCCATCACGGTCAAGAAGACGTGTAAGCAGCTCCCTCGGCTCTCCCTGTGTGCCCTCACGCTGATGCGGAGGGAGATGGGACATCGGGACCCCTGGGTGGGGAGGATCCTTCTGCGGAGTCCCTTGGGCTCCTGTGGGGCAGCCCTCCCAGCAGAGGGCCGTGGTAGGCAGGACGGGGTCGGGGTGGGAGAAGCCGGCCACACTTCAGACTCCTCCCTGCTGTCCTCGCAGCCAGCCAGCTCTCCATGCAGAACCTGCAACAGGGCCTGGGCCCGGCAGGAATGGCCAATACACGGAAGTCAGCCTCCAACAAGTACAAGCTCAAGGTGGGTGCCCGTTCCTGGTCTCAAGGAGGGTAATGCTCGTCAGCACCCCTCACCCAGGGTGCCCAGGAACCACACGAGAGCCTGGTCGATGCATCCGGGACAATAGGCTCTGAAAACGGGGTGGGGGGGGGAGGGCGACCACACGGAGATGTGGGTGACGGCAAACATTGGAGTGCTATGATGCCCACAAGTAGAGGGGCCGGTCTTGCCTTGGCGAGCCTGACCTCAGACCAGCCTCAGCCTCCTCCCCACCTGGCATGAGAACCAGACCGCCTGGTAAGGACACTGGGGGAGCATGAGAGTCCGGGCCTGCCCTCTGGGCTCACTGTGCACTGGACGGTTGCCAACAGGAGGTGGCCAGGCTCCTGTGAGCTGCTGCACAGTCGGGGGTGGAGGTGGGCAGGCAGGGTGTGGCCCTTCAGGGGATTGGGCAGGGTGCAGAGTGTAAGCACAACAGAGCAGGCTGAGGGAGGGGCCACAGCTGCCGACAGTGCCATTTTGTGCCTGCCCCCAGCGCGCCTGGACCATGCTCTCCTCAGGGAGGGCTCCTAGGTCATCGCTGGAGTGACCTTCCTGCTCAGGGCTTGGCTAACCTCTCTGCGGTTCTCCCAACTTCTAGAACTGCCTGCCTGGGTAGGAAAGAGCATGATACTCAAGACTCTGCTGTCCTTTCGGACAACAGCATCAAGGCAGCTTGCAGGCTCCTGCAGGCAACGAACGGCCAGCTCTGGGGCGGGGGTTGGAGCTTGTCCTCCCTGGTGCTCACTGACTGGCCTATGTGCCCACAGGTGAGAGAGGCCCTGTGGTAGCCTGCCGGTTGGGGACCACAACCCGCTCACCGTCCTGTATCTCCTTCTCCCCAGGACTCAGTCTACATCTTCCGGGAGGGTGCCCTGCCACCTTATCGGCAGATGTTCTATCAGTTTTGCGATTTGAACGTGGAAGAGTACGTACATCGGGGCCTTGGGGTGCCTCAATGGGGAACAGAGGACTGGGATGGGTGCTAAGAACTTACCCACAGGAGGGCCAGGGTCGGGGTGTCGCTGAACCCTTAAGGGGCGGGAGGAATCTTCCATTTGGTGGAAGATTCTAAATCAGAGGCCCAGAAACCACCTTTAAACGAGTTCTGAAACGCACTGCCCTGAACTCCATTGCACTTCCCAGTGGCTGGCAGGGGAAGGAGAACCGCTCTGGTCTCCCGACCGACGGAGCAGACGTTCGGTTAGCAGCCCAGCGCTTGCCCCAGTGTGCCACCAGGGCTCCCCAGTTGTTCTTAGTGATGCTGACATCTGGGGTGGGGGTGGGGTGGCGGTGAGGGAGCCGTGATGCAGGGATTGGAAAGCTTGGAAGGCCATGAGCTCCGTGACCAGGGGGTTGTGCGAGCACCCCCACAACTATGGCTCAGGTGAGGTGTCCAGGGGCCACGTAGGTGAGGGGCCCAACTGGGCGGGCAGCGCTAATGGGCATTTTAAGGGCTGGCTGGTTTTTGTAAACACCTTGCCTCTGCTAGAGCCCTAGTGCCTGCTGCAGAGGACCCCCCCATCCCGCCCCACTCCCCGCCTGCAAGTGCCCAGCCCAACCCTTCCCCCTCCGCCCAGTCTGCAGAAGATCATCCACCGCAATGACGGGGCGGAGAACGTGTGCACAGAGCGGGACGGGTGGTGTCTCCCCAAGACCAGCGACGACCTGAGGAACGCCATGTCCGTCATGATCCGGCAGGCCCTCCGCTCCACCAGGCCCGGTGAGAGTCCAGAGGTCCTAAGTGCCTGGAGACAGAAGACCCCTCCCCTGGAACTTGCCTTAGAGGGAGAGGGTGGCCTTGTGGGGCAGCATGTCCTCAGCCTACCAAGAGACCTTTTGGGCTGGAGCGTGAGGGCAGGGGCTGGAGCAGGGTTGGTGCTTCGGCTGGCCTCCCCCATGTCCTGGTCCCACCCTGCCCCTTCATGCGCTGGCTGGCATATGGTGGGGGGTGGGGGTAGGAGGTTGCATGGTCCTTGTCCCTGTGCTGTGCACAGCTGGGCTCCATCCCCAGCACCGGGCAGCACCTGGGGAAGTGAGAAGGGAATGAGCTGAGGGCTGATGAAGCTGAGAGAATCAACAAGTGGGGGAAGGGTCCTTCTTCCAGGCTTAGGCAGGGGAGCTGCCCGGAGGACAGAGGAGGGCAGGGGCCCACAGTCCACTAGGGGAATCTCACCCAGGCTATGGGGCCTCCCCCACGCCAAGGTGTGCGTACTGTTAGCGCCGGGAGACCCAGGCACCTACCTGGGGCACCGCTGGGGGCTGGCTTTCACCTGTCTGCTCTAGCGTCCCTCGGAGGTCCAGACACCCGTTGTGGAAACAGGCCCTGAGACACCCAGGAGGGCCCCACATTAGACTCACGTGCCTGTTTCCTTCTGGCCCCAGCTCTCTTCTCCAGCCCGACCAAGGCTGACGCAGAGAAAGAGCCGCTGACATATGAGTATGCGGAGGAGGAGGAGGAGGAGGAGGAAGAGGAAGAAGAGGAAGAGGAGTTCAAGCCTTCAGATGGCAGTGAGAATGAGATGGAGACAGAGATTCTGGACTATGTGTGATAAGGCTGCTCTTGAGGCAGGGCCTCTCTGCCCCAGCGAGGCTGCTGTCTGGGCCTCAGGAAGCCAGGCTGCCCCAGAGCCACCCTCCCCGGAGGCCAGCAGGACCTTCAAAGCCCTTCTGCAAGGCTGGATTCCCAGCAGTGAGCACAGATCCCCCTGATCCTGGCTCAGACTTAGTGCTGTGGACATTCCCTGAAGGTTGTGCCCTGACTTGGTACAACCATGATGACCCCTGTCCAGCAGGCTGACTGGTGCCTACCCCCTTTCTCTGGCTAACTCCAGCAACTGTCAAAGGTAGAAGTGGTGTGGCTGGGGATGGGCTGATCTTGGAGTGGGCCTCGTGGCCAGGAGCTTGGTCCATGGTCACAGGTGGCCAAAGACTGTCCTTGAGTTTGGATCCCACCCACTTGGGGTTAGTGTTGGCAAGGGCCAGGCTCAGCTGGAATTTTCTTTATTAAATGTGTTCCTGCAGAATCCTAGTGTCTCCATGGGAATGTTGCCTGGGACTCTGCTGGCACAATCACTCCACCCTCCCTCCCTCCCTCCCATTCACTTGGTGCCTCATACTGAGTGGTGCTGGTGAATGAGAGCAGGCAGTCTTGAAGCCCTCAGGCTCCTCCAGTACTCCTTCAGATGGATGGACTCCGAGATTCGGGGTGGAACCACAGGGGCGCACATGCTCGGGGACCATCCCAGGCGGCCATGTTCATACCACGTCCACTCTGGGTCTACAGAGCCCACTGGGCCACTCTGTGCGGCCATCACACCCTGCTGACTGGTGTTCTCTGGAAGATCGCACCCACCGTAAATTCAGGGGCCCCACAACTCACTGAGTCAACCTGAAGGGGCTGGAGGCTGGCTGGCCACTGAGGAGGACAGACACCTCCAAGCAGCTCTTCCCAAAGGCGAGCTGGTGCTTGCGCTTCCTTCCCTCTCCTCGCCCTTGAGGGAGTTTTCCTCGGACCCTTGGCTGGACCTCAGAGGGAGAGCATCTGGGTTCTGTTCCATCTTCCTGGAAGCCGCCTTAGCCCTGTGCAGATCTGAGCCAGGTGTGTCTACCGGGGGCATTCCTTGCCCTCCCTCCGCAGCCAAGCCTGAAACTCCCCCAGTTCCGGCCCATAGGGGTCATTGTCATGCATCCACCTAATGAAAGGGCTTCTCAAGTTCAAAGGACTCCACGGGGATCCCTCTGAAACCAACGCAGCCCCTTTCAAGCAGTGGCGCCTCGTGGACACCACGTGGCGGGTGTGTGTCACGTGCTCCAGCGGCTTTCTGCTGCTCGCTTTATTCCGTCGGGACTCCGCCTGTCAGCCTGGCACCGAGCAGCCCTGCACTTGGACCACCCAGGGCTCCTGATTCCCCTAAATGCCTCCACTTGACGTTCTAGCTCTTTGTTAAGGAAAATGCAAAGCGTACACCAGAGTACTCAGAATCATATAGCAAGCCCCATTGACTCATCGCCCGAGCTGTCTCGATTACTACGTTTTGCCAATTTTGTTTCTTCCCCTGCCTTTCAGTTTTGATTTTATGGAAGTTGTTTTAAAGAAATCCCATAATTTATCCCTGCCTCTAAGACACACACACAGCCTTGGTGGCTGTCCTGTCAAGCTGTCAGGAGAAAGACAGGGCTTTCTCCTCCCATCAAGAGAGACTCACCCCTCACACAGGGCCAGTTGTACCCCGTTCTACAGGGCAGCTCGCTGTGAGTCAGCACCGGCATGATGTCAGTGAGTTTGGTTTAGTTCCTAAAAGTAAAGGAGTGTAAAACTTTGGAAAGGCAGGCTGTACCTGTAATACCTTTAACGGATGAACACAAACACCCTAGCTGCATGCTGGTCTACCTTGCTAGACATCACTCCCCTAGGGTTGTCTGTTACTTGAAGACCTGCCTGGGCAGAGCACGCCTGCTGTGGTCCAGAATCGATGTCTAGCTGATAGCGACTCTCTAGGAGCCTAGTGGCATCCATGTCACACTTTTGGCTGCTGATTACAAAGTCAGCAGTTCAAAACCCCCAGCTGCTCTGGGAGAAAGGCGAGGCTTTCTACTGTAAAGAGTTACAGCTTCTGACACCCAGGGGGACAGTCTCGCCCTGCCCTGTAGGGTCGCTATGAGTCGGAGTATGAGTACAACCGAAAAGCCACAAGTGGGTGGCTTGATCAGGCCAATCTGTTGTTGCTGGGTTTAGGAGGTTAGAAGTCTGAATGCAGGGTGCTGGTCCCAGGGAAGGCTTTGCTACCCCTCGTAAAGGTTCACGCCCTGGCACAGGGAAGACATTCACTAACTCCAACTTAGGAAAAAGGTAAAGCCAATGGGGGGCATCCATCCGAAAGCACACGGTGGAGATCTGCCCACCGGGGTCCATTCATCTGCAGGTGTTTGACATTACTCAAATCACAAGAGGCAAGTGCCAGCCACGTGGATCCCTGGTGGTGGAGCGGTTACGCGTTGGGCTGCGATCCACATGGTCTGAAGTTCGAAACCACCAGCAGCTCCCCGGGCTTTCTACTCCCCAAAAACGGTCTCGGAAACCCACAGGGGGTCACTATGAGTCAGCAGCGAATTTGTTTTGTTTTGGAAGTGCTGGCCCGTAACAATCAGATAAAACAACAAGAGTAGCATTTGTGATGTACAAGCAATCCTTGTGCTGTCATAACTATGCCCCACGAAGGATTGTCCACAGACGAGCACACAACATAACTGTCTGAGCAATACAGAAAGTTCTAAAAATTCCACTGAGGCCGGGCTGAGGGCAAGGCTAGCATGGCAAGAGTGAAGCTAACCACGCACATGGAGTAAGTTGGGGTAGTGCTGGGTGGTAGTGTTTTCCTAGGGTACGCTTGCTCTGCTGGTTCCCATGGATCTGTTGGCGTCTTATCTTCCCTCATCCCTGCTTCCTTGCTTACCTACTTCATCTGTTCTCTTATGTCTCAAAAGAGATTGGTTTAAAACACAGCCTGTGTGGGGCTGTTAATCACAAGGTTGGTAGTTTGAAACCACCAGCTGCTCTCTGGGGGAATGAAGCTTTCTCTTTTTTTTTAATAATCATTTTATTAGGGGCTCATACAACTCATCACAATCTGTACATACGTCATCTGTGTCCAGCACTTTAGTACATATGTTGACTTCATCATTCTTTTTTTTTTTTAACATTTTATTAGGGGCTCATACAACTGTTATCCCAATCCATACACACATCAATTGTGTAAAGCGCATTTGTACATTGTTTCTCAAAACTTTTTCTCTCCATTTAAACCCCCGACATTAGGTCCTCATTTTTCCCCTCCCTCCCCGCTCCCCCCTCCCGCATGAGCCCTTGAGGAATGAAGCTTTCTACTCCCTTCCAGAGCTAGACAGTCTCAGGAACTCACAGGGGTCGTTTTGCCCTCTCCTCTATTGTCCCCAGGAGTTGGAATTGACTAGATGGCAGTCGGTTTGGGGTCTCTTGGGGGAATATACCTGAACCCTGGTGGGCTGTCAGATAAGAGAAGCTAGACTGCTAACCACAAGGTCAGCAATTCAGACCCACCAGCCACTCAGACAAGGCTATCTATCTGCTCCCATGAAGATTTGCAGCCTCGGAAACTCTAGAGAGCGTCGCTGTGAGTCGGAATTGACTTGTTGGCAGCGCATTGTTTTCAACAACAGGGATCCACTTATCAAACGAAATCCACTGCCATCAAGAGGGACTCACACTGGCCCCTCGGGTTTCTGAGCCTTATCTGGGAACAAACAGCCTCATCTTTCTCCCACCAAACTGCTGGTGGATTCAAACTGCTGACCTTGCTGTTAGCAGCCCAACACATCAACTATGCCACCAGTAGGATTATAACCACAAGTATAACCCAAGTCCATTGCCAACTCAGAGCAACCATACAGGACACAGTAGACTGTCCCATGGGGTTTCGAGTTGTAAATTGTGACAGAAGCAGAGAGCCCTGTCTGTGTCCCTCTGAGAGCCTGGTCAGTTTGAACCACTGACCTCTGGGTTTGCAGCCAAGTGTTTTAACCGCTGAGCCACCAGCAATCCTTTTTGTGTATATTAGGATCTATGGCCTATAGTTTAGGGGGGGGACGCAATGCAATCTGTAGCGTACACCTAAAAGGAGTTCGGTCATTCCTAGTCGCAAAAATAAACAGTAATAGTAAAGTAGCCATATGCACTGCTGCTTACTCGGATTTCCCACTGGTCTCATGGCCAGGATTTAAGCAAGTCCTCGCACCATATTTGACTGCTGTGTCTCTCTTCGGTCAACTGGAATCTGACAGCACTCCCCACCCACCTCTTCTGGGTGCATGTTGTTGATTTGTTGGAGAGTGGTCTTCTGCCCTCTAAAACGCCCCTGCGCTGGACCACCCCTTGTGATGGCAAACATGCTTCTCTTACCTGAATGTCCTTTGAACTGGAAGCTTGATTAGAATTCCCCCCAGGCAGAGGCGTGTGTGTCCAGCTGGGAGGCACGCAGTGTCTGCTCCACCCTTTTAGTGACCTCTGCCTGTTCCACCAGTCTCATCTGCTGGTTTCCGCAGTCATCCATAGAGCCCTCGATCTTAAAAGTGCTTAAATCAAAACAGTGCACTGTGCCTCCTGGCCACCTCGACCTGCACTCTATAGGGATTTCAATGGCCGACTTTTAAAACTAGATCGCCAGGCCTTTCTTCTAAGGCACCTATGGATGGACTTGAACCTGCAACCTTTTGGTTAGCAGTGGAGAACATGAACCATTTGCACCACCCAGGGACTCCAATATGTCCTTAAAAACGAAACAAAAAAACCTGCTGGTGTCAAAGTTACCAGCAGAAGTGCCCCACAGGGGCACAGGGCGCTAACCCACCCAAGGGGAGGGTATTGTTTGTATCTCCACAGGAAAAGAGGGACCAGACATCAACCCAGTGTTCCAAGGTGTGAATGCAACATGCCAGTGCAGAGTAGGGAGCCAGTGGAGAGGTCTTGGGGGCTGGCCCCAGTCCCAAATACTAAGTGAATGCCTGCCCCTCCCCCGAGAAGAATTTATTTCAAAGGATGGCACTGAATCTGCAGCTCCAGGAGAGGGATGTATCTGATCGGAGTACACGGGAGCAGATGATGGGGGAGGAGGAGAGACTGGAGCATATCCTGGCCCACCAGGCCTTGAGGACGATGACCCCAATCAGAACAGCCAGTCCACAGAGAGGACCACATGGCCAGCCC